TTCATGGTGGCAAATGTGATTTGGGCACAATCTGATATTCATTCTCCATGGTAAATAAGGCACTTGTTTTCGCCTCACCAAACATGCCTGCTAGCTTCCCCCTCCACAGCTGCCACCCGGCTGGTCAGCCCCGTGGAAGGAGCCGGGTCGCCGCTGTCCCCCCAGCTGCTGGCCACACAGTCGCTGAGCCTTCTCCTCTCTCTCTGGTCTGCCGCCCGGCCTCCTCCATCTGCTGCCGCCTCCCGTCGCGGTCCAGTGATGTTGTTTGTTCATTCATGCACTCATCCCGGCGTTCATCAGCGCTGGGGTGCAGCCAGGATCCTGCAGGACTCGGGAAAGCGGCGTCCCAGAGGAGCCCGCTGCCCCATGCAGAGGGCACATGACTTCAGATCTGGATAAAACCTGCCAGGAAAATGAAGCCAGATCCCCAGGGTGGAGAGGGGACTGGGCAGCTGGTGCGTTGAGGACTGGAGGTCAGAAGGGCCTCCAAGGAAGGAAGAAGAGGAGGAGGTAGCCAAGGAAAGGCCTGGAAAGAGGGCTGCCAGTAGAACAGCAAGCTCAGCACTCATAAGCAGGAAGGAGCACAAAGCCTTTACTTAATCCTAATAAGAAGGCCTGTGAGGCTGTGTCCTACCTGTGTGCAAGAGGAAAGGGGGTGGGGTGGGCAATTATGGGGCAAGGCAGGCAGGTGGGCTGAGAGCCTAGCGGGCCAGTAGACAAGTCAGTGTGCATCACGTGATGTGGTCAGCCACAGTGCTGAGCAAGGCCCCGCCAAATGCCAGGGATATTGGCTCATACCCAGTCCATACTTTCATAGGCTTTTTTAGCCAATAGCACAGAGTAAAAGACCCAGAAATAAGCCTACACACCTTACAGCCATCTGCTTGTTGACAAAGGAGCCAGAACTCTATGTTGGGGGAACAAAAAGATAGCCACTTCAACAAATGGGAACTTGAACAGCCATATGCTGAAGACTGAAACGGAATCCCTGGTTCTCAGCTTGAATAAGTATCAATTCATCAGACCTGAAACCTACAGGAAGGAGTAGGGGAAACTCTAGAACTTACTGGCCTAGGCAGGAGCTTCTCACATACTGATCTAGGGACTCAGCAAAGAGACAGCACTGACAAATGGGACTGTATCAAGCCAAGAAGCCTCTACCCAGTGAAGGACACAGTCATTGGGCTAAAAAGACAGCCTACAGAATGGAAGAAGATCTTTCCCAGCTATATGTCTAACAAGGGCCTAATTATCAGAATCTATAAGGAATCCCAAAAAGCTAAGCCCTCAAAGAATCTATAACATAATTCATACATAGGCAAAGGAGCTAAACAGACACTTCTCAGAAGAACTCTTGGGAATGTGTCCAAAAGCTTGCAAGTGTATATGTGTGTGTATACATATATATATATATGTACATACACATGCACATACATGTATACATATGTGTGTGGATGGGTGCACATATGTGTGTATATGTGTGCATTCACCCATAATAGAATTTTATTCATCCTTCAGGAAGAATATCACCTGAAAGGAGATGAATGGGCCTGGAAAAATGTCATCTTGAGTAAAGTCAGTCAGGCTCAGAAAGACATTTGTGGAAGTTAGACCTAAAATGTAGCCATTTATGAGAGTACACACAAAGCCATATGCATACACACATGATCAAACTGACTAAAATGTGGCATACATGGTTGGAGTTCCATAGCATCAGCTCTTAGAACAATTAACCGTTGAACAAAAACGAATACCAGGAAGCTGGAATAGGTATGCCTTGAGGGGTTGGGTAAGGAGCAGGGAGGGGGAGAGGGTGGACTAATGGAGAGAGGAATGGCAGGTGAATACATCATAACACTCCATGGACACACATGAAATGGGAACTAGGGAACTTAAGATGGGTAGAGTCGATGCAGGGCAAGACTGACGGACGAGGTGACAGTGATCAAGATGCATTGTACACATAAATGGAGATGTTAAGTTGAAGCTACTTTGTACAACTATTTGAAGATATTCGCTTATTATTGTTATTATTATTATTACTCTGAGAGCCCCAAAATAGGCCCTGGGAAAGGATGGGGATGGGAGAATGTTGGTGGCAGAGCTGTCACCGTTTTCAGAGATGGGCCTCCTCCCACCTCTCTCCCGGCCCAGCCATCTTCCAGCGCTGCGCCCAGTTGCCAGCACCTCCCAGTCCCCATCCCCGCCCGGACTCTCAGTTTTCTGTCATCTGTCTTATTGAGACAGTTCCCAAATATCACCACATGGTGTTATACTGTAAATAAAGATGCTATAAATATGTATGTGGATATTAACAGAGCAAGGAAAGTGCACTAAAGCACTCATAGGAAGAATTTATTCATCTATTCGAGGGACCCGGCTGGCCCTTATAGGCAGATTCTTAAGTGGCGTGGGGATTGTTGCTGGAGTGAGACCCTTAAGGCTGCAGATATTTTACTCACCCCCCCCCCCCGACTGTACTCATTGTGTGCTGATTCATTGTGTATGTCTAAGCTTTAAAGGCATTTTTTTAAAAAGCTTACCAGTGTTGTATCATTGGTGACAGGCCCATTATATATGGCTTACTGAAAAGAAGAGCTAGGTTTTTTTTTTTTTTCCTTCCCAGAGGTAAAGCTGATATGGAAGCTGATATGTATGGGGAGGGCGGGTAATTAGGATCCAAGTCTGGGTACTGCCAAGTATGGGGGTCTTCGCCTGCTGCCTAGCCAGATGGAGTGACCCCAGGTGATGATGCCATGGCTGTGTGTGACCCACCTCTCATCCTTGGCTACCTCGGGATTCTGCCAGGGAGTCAGGCATCACAGATGCAAGGTCATCACCAGTGACCTTGGACCACAATGATGGCTGGAAACCTCCTTCCCTGACAACTTGCCCTGTCTGTGGTTCTGTGTTATTAGGAAAAGAGACAGAAGGCAAATGTGTGCTTTGACTGAGCCCTGCAGGCCTCCAGGACTCCCTCCTGCCCCACGACTCAGGCTAGATGGAGCCAAAGGACTTCTTCCAAGGGGATCCTTGGAAAGGACCAGGGAAAGGCACTGAGCTGAGCCACCCAAGCCAGAGGAGACCTCGAAGGCAGCACCTCTGTGCCAGCAGTAGCATTCAGTGGGCAAAAGCAAAAGACCTTCTCCGAATGGAAAAACTGTTGGCAGAAATTAAATGTGGGAGATAAAAATTTAAACGTTTGCAGAAGATCAAGCAGTAAGATGTCGCTAATGGAAAATAAGCAATAACCCATCTTTTAGATGAGAACAAGTCCAGGGGGTCCAACTTCAAATACCAAGAATTCTAGACAGAGAAAGATAGGGACAGGCACCAGCGTCTGTAATTCTCACTACTCAGGAGGCTGTGAGACCTCTTATCTCCAATTAACTAGCAAAATGTTGCAAGTGGAGCAAAAAAGCCAAGCAAGAGCTAATGCTCTGTGTTCAAGCTCTAGTACTTGGCATCAAAAAAATAATAATAAATAAGGAAAAGGAAATCAGCACTGAAATAATTTGAGGAAATCTTCCAGCACTGGTGGCCTATAGTTCATACTAGGAGGTCAGTATTATACATTCATGGTTTTTGATGGTCTATGTACAGGGCAGGTATTTCTGGTTATAGTGCTATTCATATACAATGTTTCCACAATCCTATATGCTTTACCTACTCTCCCCTCTCCCTTCCTTCTTTCCTTCCTTTCTTCCATCCTTGTTCCCTCCCTGCCTCCTTCCTTCTCTCCCTCCTAACTCCTGGAACCACTGCTCTTTTGCTGTCTGATAGATTTGTCTTTTTCCAGGATGTCTTGGGTAGAGTTATGCAGTAGATAGCATCTGTAGAATGGCTTCTTTTGCCTAGCAAAACACACTGAATCTTCCATCATGTCTTTTCATGGCTTGATAGCTCACGGGTGTTGAATGACTTTCCATTAGCGGATGTTATCGCGTTTTATTTACCCATTTACCTACTGACATGTGTCTTGGCTGATACCAAGTCTGGGCAATTTGAAGGGAATTTGGTATACATTGTGTGTGTGTGTGTGTGTGTGTGTGTGTGTGTGTGTGTGTGTGTGTGTGTGTGTGTGTGTGTGTGTGTGTGTGTGTGTATGTATTACTCAGCCTTAAGAAGGAAGGAAATTCTGATCCATGCAAAGTGATGAGGATTCAGACATGAGAGGGAGGGAACTTGCCTGGCTGGCACAATTTCTGTCCTGTGGAGCTAGACTCTGGTGCCAGCACCCTGGGTATGACACAGAGTCACCATCACCCACGTCAGAGCTGGCCACCCCTCCCCGCTGAGCATCTGCACCCCACCCCCACCCTGTGTCCTCCTCCACAGAGGCTCCCTATTGGGACATACAGAAGGTGATTTTGTGAGATGTCACCGTTTTTCGTAGGCTGAAAATGGAATGCTTTGAGCTTCAGGAAGGGGAAAATAAAACCATGACTGTCACCTGGGTCAGCACAGGTTGCTGTCTGCACAGATGCTCGAGCCTTTCTCGTGCTGAAACCCAGTTCCATGGGACAGCCGTCTAAAGGATCCCCTCTGACTCCTGTGTCAGCTCTGGCCCCCTGGTGCCCTGTCCTTCTGTCTAGGCTCATTCAAGGAGACTGGGAAAGACAGAAATGGGCCAGGGATGGGGTCTTCATTGGAGGCAGTGAGAATGGGTTAAGCAGGAAGTCTTGAGTCCTGAGGTTTCCTCGTTGTGAGTCACCAGGACTCCAGGGCTGAATGTCTAAGGTGGAGGCTGGTTAAACTGTCTCAGGCTTGATTAGGACATGTGTCCTCCCTCTCCTCCCTCCCCCCTGCCATGAGAGCCCCTCTCCTCCACCTTTCAAGGAAGCCCGGCTTATAGCCCTGTGTGGAACACAGCACACCAGGCCTGACTAGGCCTGGGAAGAAAGGCCCACAGTAGGCCCTTCTCCGACTGCAGTGTCTTCAACAGGGCTGACAAGGAGAGTCTGCGGATGGCCACCAGTGGCCGTGGGGTGGGGACACTGCCGGGAAGCAGGAAAGCCCCATTGAGGAGACAAGGATGGAGAAAAAGAGGATGATAGGACAGCCATCCTGCAGGTGACCACAGCCTCGCAGGGGCTCAGAGTTGGGCAAGGCGTTTAGAGGGGGAGGATAGGTATGCGATGGAGCGGGGTGGAGGCGGGGTGGTGGGGAGAGAGATGAGGCTGGGCAGGTCGGCTGGTCCAAATCACATTCTATAACCTGGCAGTGGGCTTGATCATACCCTGACAGAACTCCAACTCAAATAAGTATACAGGATAGAAAAGTTCATGAGTAGCTTCAGATACCGTAGGATCCAGTGTCTCCAATCCTCAAGATTGTGTCCATTTTCCTCACCTTTCATACGGAGAGAAGGGTCTGAACAAAGAGGGAAAGAGAACCACCAAATGAGATGGGCCTGAACAGCCCCCAGTTTGGATCAGACCCACCTCGGAATCAATCTTGGTGACCAGCATCTGGAGGGAACTATGTAGAACTTGTCAAAAACCCAGCTTTCACGTGAGAAGCACGCTCCAGAAATGGTCTGTCCGTGGCTGGATGCCAGTGGCTCACACCTGCAATCCTAGTTACTCACGAGACTGAGATCTGAGGACCAAAGTTCAAAGCCAGCCGGGGAAGGAAAAAAATCTGTGATATCTCCAATTAACCAGCAAAAAGCTCAAAGTGGAGCTGTGGCTTTGTGGTAGAGTGCTAGCTTTGAGTGAAAAAGCTCTGGGACAGCACCCCAGGCCCTGAGTTCAAACCCCATTAACTGGCACAAGGGAAGAAGAGAGAGAAAAGTGGTTTGTCAGTAAATGGAGAAACTGAGGACAGAAAAGAAATGGCTAGTTACTGAGGGAAATGTTGAGAGACTGTAAGCAGGAAAACGGATTCTGTACTGGGGGGGGGGTATGAGAGGAGAGGTATGTCTCTCCCAGGAAGTAATTTCTGGACTTCAACAGACAGAGGGACAGAGGGGACAGAAGGGACCATGGGAAGCAGAGCCCTCCCAACCCAGATCCCAGGGAACCGGCGGATCCTGGCTCAGCTGTACCCCACTGCCTCTCACTGCAGGCAGGCATGCCCCGGACCCTGAGTGCCTCCGACATGGTCACCCCAGGCAGCCTCAGCCCACCCCCCACAGACCCCACCGATGGCGAGCAAGCCGGACAGCCCTTCCTGGATGGAGCTCCATCCTCAGCTTCTCTGGAGACCCTGATTCAACACCTGGTCCCCACAACCGACTACTATCCCGAGGTGGGTGAGCGACCTAGTGTGGGGGGGGGGTTCCTCTCTCTTTCTAGCAGGCAGGCAACATGGCTGGGAGTCGCTTTGAGCCTGTGAAGGCCCTACCTCCAATGCCCTGATGATTGTATCTCGCTCTTCCTACCATCCACCAGAAAGCCTATATCTTCACCTTCCTGCTGAGCTCTCGCCTCTTCATCGAGCCCCGGGAGCTCCTGGCCCGGGTCTGCCACCTGTGCATTGAGCAGCAGCAGCTGGACAAGCCAGTACTGGACAAGGTGAGGAGATGGGTGGAGGCCGGGGGGAGGGGGGGGGCTTGGTGGTTCTTGCTCTTCTGACCAGAAGCCCCATAGAGTTCTGACTTGTCTGTCTGAAAGGACAGAGCCAGGACCATGATGCACATCCCTAAAGCCCTGTGGGAGCCCTTAAAAGCACTGGGGACTGCCCGGTGCCAATGGCTCACACCTGTCATCCTATCTACTCAGGAGGCTGAAAGCTGAGGATCACAGTCCGAAGCCAGCCCAGGCGAGAAAGTCCATGAGACTTATCTCCAATAAACCACCCAGAAAAAGCCAGAAGTGGCGCTGCGGTTCAAGTGCTAAAAGAGCTCAGGGACAGAGCCCAGGCCCAGAGTTCAAGCCCAAGGACTAGCAAAAAAAAAATTACTGGGGGAATCTCAAAGCCCAGTCAACAGGACCCCTGCCACCTGTGGCCGGGGATGGCCCTCCTTCCCTTAGCACACTCCCATCCGCCTTTCCTTCACTTTGGGGTCCCTTGATAGGCCAGACTTGCCCCGGAACCTCCTATCCTTGCCTCCATCCCTGGCCTGATCCCGTGAGCCCTGGCTTTCTCTTTATTTATACACGTCTGCCTGGCTTTACTGTTACAGTGACGGAAACCCAACTGCAATTGGCCCAAGGCAAAGGCACACAACTAGCATTTGTAACTTCCAATCTACTGCAAAGACCCCTCTTCCCTCCATACATCCACCAGAAGTCCCAATCTCATTGGCCTAGCTTAGGTCACCTATCTGTGAGTGGGCTCTGATTGGCCAGATTTCACCTGGTTCCACCTTTGGGGTGTAGTCAGCTGCTCCTGAGCCTAGTAGTACACTGGCAAAGAGGCAGGGAAGTTCTCAAAGGAAAACTGAGACCCTGTCACTAAAGAAAGGTAGAGAGGGGACAGACACAGGCGGCTGAAACCCCCAAAATGTGTGTCTGCTTCTCTTCTGCTCTCCCCTATGGGAACAAGGGAGCAGTTCCCTGCCCTGTCCCTGTCCCTGGCACTGGAAAGCCCTTCTTCAGCCAGCACTGCCTCTTTGGGCGGTACACACAGGCATTAAAGTGTAGCCCCCACCTCCCTAGCACCCCACCAGAAAGCAGGACACCCCCCCCCCCCCCGCCACCGCCTTACAGCTCACTTACTTGCCTAACAGGCTCAAGTCCGTAAGTTTGGCCCCAAACTACTCCAGTTGTTGGCTGAGTGGACTGAGACGTTCCCACGGGACTTCCAGGAAGAGTCGACCATCGGGCACCTGACGGACGTGGTGGGCCGCATCGCCCCCTGTGACGAGGTGGGCAGGCCAACCCCCCCACATTCGGGCTTCCTCGGGCCCTCAATCCCCCCAACACTGCACACTGGAGCCCTCTTCTGACCCCATCAAGGAACCAGGCACCACAGAGCTATCTATCTGTCAGGCCTCTGGTTCCAGGTCTGCTGTCCTGACCTCTCTCTCCGGCTCTCATCAATGGCGCCAGAGCTCCAGGAAGGGAAGGCCCAACAGGGGTTCATCCATGGTCCGGATCCTGGGCTGTGACCCACTGGGCCACCTGGTAGGGCCTATGTCCCAGGACTGGTGCCACAGGGACCTCCTTCCTTCTGCCTCAACCATACTGGTCTGGTGTGGCCGTGGACCTGCCACTCCAGCAGGTGTGAATAACCACCACACTCTGGGCAGAGTCTCTGGGATCTACCCAGCCTCCCAAGGTAGGCTGTCAATCGTATGTGATGGAGGACCCTCCTACGGCTAAAACACAACGCAGGTGAACAAGACCCTTAGCTCCTGGCAGCAGCCAGTGGCCAGGCATTCGTGTGGCCCTGTGTCCCACACCCTCATTTCCCTGATGGGAGAAAGGAGGACAAACATCACCTCCCCGACGTGTCCCCGGAATGATTTTGTGGGCGGCACTGATATGCACTGTCTGGGAAGAGGGAACACTGGCTGGAGATAAGTGGGGGTGGGGGGTTGACCGGAATGTGAGTCACCCCACGAGGAACTTGAACACAGCAAGCTGGTAGCTGGTGATGTGCCCCGAAAGTGGGTCTGGCCATGACAGAGCCATTTGTCTATGAAATGAAGGAAAATTGCTCAGGCTGGGTAGGCAATAGGAAGTCGTAATGCCCAGGGCATAACAAAGGCTCAGATAGGGAGGCTGTGCTGGGTGGATATTTCCCATAGCCACAAGTGTCTGAGCTGCTGTTGGGGCTCGGTGAGATAACGTGTCTCTTCTGCCTCTTCCTCCTCTTTTCTTCCTCTTCCTCCTCCACCTCTACCAGCTCCCCCCCCCCTCTGCATCCCATGATTCAGCGCAGCATTATGACACTGGGCTTAGTCTGTCTGGATGAGGGGTGGGGAGAGTCAGAGAAAGTGGTAGATGCTAGTTGACTGGCTCATTCGCTGACTGGCTGGCTACTTTTATGAATGGACGTATGAGAAAATAGGTTTTTGAGCCATTCACATGGGCAGGTAGATGTATCTGATGAATGGCCACGGAAAGAATGATGGAGAGAAAGGAGGAAGAAAAATGGGCAAGGCGGATAGATGAGTGTTTGGGTGACTAGATGTATGGGAGGTAGTGAGTGGATGGGGGAGTGGGTGAACGTTAGAAAGGAGGGAGGAAGGATGGGTGATGAACTGGGTGGGTTACTATCTAAAGAGAAAGGTAGATGGGAGCACTTGGGTGGACAGGAGGTGAGTACAGGTGTATGGCAGATGGGTGACTGGTGGATGGATAGTTGGGTGGATGGGTGAGAAGAGGGTGGGTAGGTAGTGGAGGGTGGATAGCTAGAAAGGTATGGGTGGGTGGATGAGTGAGTAGGTGGATGGATGTTAAAGAGGAGTGATAAATGAGGGGATTGATGAATCTGTGGGTAGACACTGTATAAAGGAAGAGATGGATGATAGAACAGAAAGGTTCAGAGATGATGGATGGATGGATGGATGGATGGATGGATGGATGGATGGATGGATGGATGGATGGATGGGATGGGATGGATGGATGGACAGATGTACTGGGCTGGTAGGTTTAAATCCTGGGCTAGTTTCCCTGTGAAAACCAGTGCAGAAGAACTTATTAGGGAGAACAGGTCCTGCCTGTCAGCAGGTCTGGGGGTGGGGGTGGGGCTGAGTTCCGTGACCTCCACACCCACCAAGCCCAAGTCAGGAGTGCTCCCCTGTGTCTTCGGGATCTCCAAGTTGCCCTTCTCCAGAAATCATCCAGTCTACCAAAGACATCTTTTAGGTCTTGGCTCTTTACCCAGAATGCACAGAGCCCTGAATCGGACTGCTGAAGAAGGCCCCCTGGGTCAGACAGCCCGACCCCAGGTCCAGTCTTAGGGAGACTGTGTGCAGTCTAGGCAAGATGCGTCGCCCCTCTGAGTTTGTTCCTCAATCAGGAAACCACTCCCACAGCTTGGCAGCTACAAGTCCCTGCAGCCATGTGCGCTCTGCTCCTATTTTAGCCCTTAGTAAACTATGTGAGCTATGATGAGGAACAAATTGTTGCCCAAATTCAGTCAACTGGAGAATATTTTTAACCCTTCATTGTTGTTGTTGTTGTGGGGTTTTTTTTTTTAGGTAGTGGGATTTGAACTCAGGGCCTCAGACTTGCTAGGCTGATGCTTTCCCACTTGAACCTTGCCTTCACCCCTGCTTTTTGCTGGTTATTTTGGAGATCAAGTCTAGTAAACTATTCTGCCCAGCCCTGACCTCCAATTTGCAATCCTCCAGTCTCCTGAGCAGCTTGGATTACAGGCATGAGCCACTGGTGTCCAGATTATTTTTAACTCTTATGAAATATTTCACACATACCCAAATGTGAAGAACAGTAACTACCAACTACTACTTCGTACCCATCGCTTCACTTCAACGATCATAATTAACACTTTGCCAAACCCGTTTCTTATCTACCTTCACACATTTTCCCCTTGCAACAGATTCATTGCAGGCAAATCACAGGCATTATGTCTTTTGCTCCAAAAAACTTTTTTTTTTCCATCATTATCTTTGGTCGGGGAGGGACAGTCGTGGGAGGAGGGTTAGCCCTAGCATTATCTTTTTTTTTTTTTTTTCTTTAAGTTTTTCCTACAGAGGTGGAATAGAATGATGGAAAACCCAATACCTATGGTTAGGTATTTTCAGAGCTGTGTGTCTTTGGGCACCTTCCTGCAAGGGTCCCCCAGTCCTTTGGGTTCAGTAGTTATAGCTCCCTAAGACCAGTGCTGAGGCCTGAGAGAGGCTGGGTTTATAGCCCCTAGGCAAGAGAGAAAGGACAGGACAGTGGTGCTCTGGCCACACCCACTGGGGCACGGTGAGATTAGGGGCTCCTCTTGGGGGTAGAAGAGTAAGTGTCCCTTGAGGGAGGGTATGGCCTTTTGTCTCTGCGTCCAGAGACACAGTGCAAAGGGCATAGTGCAAAGCTGGACTCCATCTGCCCACGCCGCATGGTGAAGGGGTATACTGAGTGTCCATGTATGCCCAGAGCTGGTCTGGGGCCCTGCTAACAGGAAGGGCAGCAATAGCTGGCTAGTAGGCAAACTCAATCATTTTTAACAGTGGTTCTTCAGAAACCGTTGGAGGCGTGGCTCAGTAGGAGGCGTGGCTCAGCTGGTAGAGCGCTAGCCAATGAGCGAAAGTAGCAGCAGGTACTTAGATGGAGTCCCAGATGAGTCGTTCAGGGTCGGAGAGCGAGATGGTGAGGGAGGGTCCACGGGCCTCCTCCATGTCCTGAGAGACAGGACAGGGAAACAAGTGCTTCCTTTCTCCAAGTCCCTGGCTTGCTTGCTTGCTCGCCTCTCTCCTCCATTTACCGCCTTGTCCTGCTGGGGCCACCTGGGGTCTGGTTGCCTTCCCTGCTGTGTGTTTTTCTCAGCTGCTACCCATCATCCTGCGGTCTTCTCCCAGGAGCCTACCTGGCCACAGCGTAGAGGCTGGGAGATGGGGTGCTGAGGCCGGAGTCTCCCCTTCAACACGGCCCTGCCCCCTCCCCCTCCCCAGGCCTACCGAAAGAGGATGCATCAGCTCCTGCAGGCTCTGCACCAGAAGCTGGCGGCCCTGGGCCAGGGGCCGGAAGGCCTGCTGGGCACTGACAAGCCCATCTCCTACCGGACCAAGCCACCGGCCTCCATCCACAGGGAGCTCCTGGTCGTCTGCAGCGACCCCTACACGCTGGCCCAGCAGCTGACCCACGTGGAGCTGGTGAGCGGGCAGTGTGCCCAGACCCTGGGAGGGAGCAACTGAGAACAGCTCCCCCCACCCCAACCCTTAAGCTCTCCTTCCTGCTTGTATTGGGGATGCCCTGACCTAACCCCTGGGAAGTAGGGCCGGCCCACGAAGTGAGGGGGGCTGGGAGTGGGCTGCTTTGCCTTCTGCACCCCACCATGCTTGGTGGTGATGACCCTTCTCCCTTCTCCTAGGAGCGGCTGAGACACATCGGGCCTGAGGAGTTTGTCCAGGCTTTTGTGAATAAGGACCCGCTGGCCAGCACAAAGGTAAAGACTCCTGGACCACACCCTGAAGGAGATCCCGGGGGGGGGGCACCCACTGGGTGAGCTTGGGGCCACCCAGAGCTGGATGATGGGGCTGGGCCAATTCCCTCCACCCCCTCCATTTCAGACCTGTGAGTCCCAGAGGAGCCGCCCCCACCCCGCCCTGCAGAGAGCCTGACCAGCCAGGGGTGGGGAGGGGAGAGGGAGGCTGCCGGCCACATACACCTAAGAGTTAGGTGATGGGTGGGAATGGATGGAGCTGTGGGAGCAGCTGGCACCACTCTGGGCTCAGGACCCTCCAGGCCCTTCTGGTGCCTTTTGGTGGGTGCTAGTGCCCTCCAGTGATCACTTGGGGAAGTGCAGGCTGGTGCATTTGGCCGGCAAAGCCTAAAGAACAGGTGCATCCCCACAGGTATGTCACTTGCTGCCACCCACTTCCAAGGCAAGAAAGCCAAGGGAGGGGAAGAGGCCCACAGTTCAACCCCCAGTTCCAACACACACATACACACACACAGAGATACGTTGCAACATGAGATCTGTAAATGTATCAATGAACTCATGAGCAACAGCAGAATATAACCCATGACTGAATGGGTATCTAACACGTATCTGCTCCGTGGGGTTCACCATGGCCTTTATGAGCCTAGAATTCAAGACTAGGCGTCGGCACTATGCTGGGAAGCTCTTTAAGATTTTGAATTATCCACCCCCAACACAAGAATGTTGTCTTTGGGAGGGTGACAAGGGCACAGAAATGGGGGGGCACAGGGTGAACAATTGCAGCAGTGGTGCTCACTGGACACTATGCTGAAGATGAACACTACAACGTGTGGGTGGCGGCGGGAGAGAGTGAGGGAAGGGGTGACATTGTCCAAAAAGAAATGTATTCTTTACCTGACTTATGAAACGATAACCCTTCTGTACATCACCTTTATAATGTCACAAATTTTTTTTGGGGGGGATCCAGTCATGGGGCCTGAACTCTGGGCCTGGGCGCTGTCCCTCAGCTCTTCAGCTCAAGGCTAGTGCTCTACCACTTGAGCCACAGCGCTGCTTCTGGCTTTTTTCTTTTTGCTTATGTGGTGCTGAGGAATCAAACCCAGGGCCTCATGCATGCAAGGCAAGCACTCCACCACTGAACCACCTTCCCAGCCCCTAGAATGACACAAATTTAAGCATTTGTTTCTCTCTTTTTTTTGTTGGTGGTGGTGGGGCTCGAACTCTGGGCTTGGGCGCTGTCCCTGAGACTCCTCAGTTGAAGACAAGCACTCTACTGCTGGAGCCACAGCACCACTTCTGGTTTTCTAGTGGTTTATTGGAGATAAGAGTCTCAACAGACTTTCCTGCCCAGGCTGGGTTCGAACTGTGATCCTCAGATCTCAGCCTCCTGAGTAGCTAGGATTATAGTCATGAGCTACCTCGACTGGCTCGTTTGTTTCTCTTTTAAATGTTTTTTGAAATTTCCATCCAAAACACAAAACTGGAGAAGAGACGCTAGCTAGACAGTCAAAATGCTACTTGTTCATAGGGCCCCATACCAGAGCTGAAAGAGGACAGAGGTGACTTAGTTCAACCTTGGCTAGAAATGCTTAGGAAACCGAGGAGCCCCTTTCTGTACACTTTCACAACTAATTGTAAAAGACACACAAGCTGTGAGATTATAACTAAAATTCAGTGTGTAAGAAAATTCACCAAAATTCTATGGATATGCTTACCGCTTTCACTGCAACCTTACTTTTTTTTTTTTTTCTTTCAGTCATGGGGCTTGAACTCTAGGCCTGGGTCTTGAGCTTTTTTGCTCAAGGCTAGCACTCTACCACTTTGAACCACAGCACCGCTTCCATTTTTCTGGTGGTAATTGGAGATAAGAGTCTCATAAAGTTTCCTGCCTGGGCTGGCTTAGAATCATGATCCTCAGATCTCAGCCTCCTGAGTAGCTAGGATTACAGGAGTGAGCCACCGGTGCCCAGCTCTTATGTATTTGTTATTAAGCTTATTTAGTGCTAGGTATAAAACCTTGAACCCCCTTACTTGCTAAGTATAAGCATTCATTCCATCACTGCACTACATCTCCCTTCCCACCCCACCCCACTTCCCGTAGTAGTACGGATTGAATCCATGAGCCACCTCCACACTCCTACACCTTTAAATGTATAGGGAAAACAAGGCCAGAAAGAGACACAACAAAAACCACTGGTGTTTCCTGGCAGTTAAGTTTTCACCTTGCTCCGGTTGTCTAATGATCATGAACTGACTTTCTGTTCTAAGGTTTTACTGACCAACGCGGCATGTGCTCCCATGTCTTTTCCAGCCTTGTTTCAGTGACAGAACCAACAACCTGGAGGCTTACGTGAAGTGGTTCAACCGACTGTGCTACCTTGTGGCCACTGAGATCTGCATGGTGAGCACAAAGCCAGAGAGGGCAGGACCTGACATAGCCAAGGGACAGCTGGGGCTGGAGAGGCCCCCACCGTGCAAACTGGAAGGACATCTTGAGCCCCAGTCATCTCTGGGGGCTTGGCTGGCAACCGCCCCGCCCAGGAGACGGGTTCAGCCTTCTCTTGAAGTGACATGTACCTTGTAGGCAGAGCGTTAAGGGTGGATCAGCAGCCAGCTGTCCACTGTTGCTGTTTGCCTCGACCCTGAGCAGCTCCCCTGTCCTGGGCAGCCTGGCCTAACAGCTGGGTGGTTTGTCTCACTTAGTCTTACTCAGAATTTTAGAAGAGGAGGCAATCTAACCTTTACAAGTTGGGATGTTGCGCTTTAAAGGTTCAGGTCAAGGTCAGGCGCCAGTGGCTCACGCCTATCATTCCAGCTACTCAGGAGGCTGAGATCTGAGGATTGAGAAATTCGTTTGAAAGTGTTTTGGTTTTTTTTGGTTGTTGTGTTGTTTTGTCAGTTGTGGGGCTTGAACTCTGGGTCTGGGCGCTGTCCCTCTGCTCTTCAGCTCAAGATGAGTGCTCTACCACGTGAGCCACAGTGCCACTTCTGGTTTTCAGGTGGTTTATTGGAGATAAGAGTCTCAGGGACTTTCCTGCCTGGGCTGGCTTTGAATGGTAATCCTCAGATCTCAGCCTCCTGAGTAGCTAGGATTATAGGCATGAGCCACTGGTACCCAGCCCAAGAGATTCTTAATATCTAATTAACCAGCAAAAAAAAAAACTAGAAAGGGAGGCATGGCTAAAGTGGTAGAGAGCCAGTCTTTGGTGAAAAGCTTGAGTTCAAGACTGAGTACGGGCACAAAAAATAAAATAAAAGAGGGCTGAGTTTGGTGAACAGAGGGTCTGAGCAAGGCCGGGGAGGAACGTGTCATTGCTGATGCTGTGGTACCCTATCCCCAGCCTGCCAAGAAAAAGCAGAGGGCTCAAGTGATTGAGTTCTTCATCGATGTGGCCCGAGAGTGCTTCAACATTGGCAACTTCAACTCCTTGATGGCCATTATCTGTGAGTGAGGACGCCCAGAGGTTGAAGCAGACACTTCTGGGGAGATGGGGTACAAGCCCTACTTCTGAGCAGTGGGTGGGTGTAAGATGGGTAGTCTGCAGCCACGTCCCTTAAAGAGACAAGCTTAGTCCTCAGGGCTTTTGTGGAAGGCCTGGCCTTGTGCTTCCAGATCAGAGATGATGAGGACCCCAAAACAGTCACGGGTCATGGCGGGGGGGGGGGGGGGGGGGGAGGGCGGAGAGAGGGGTGTTTGTGTAGTGGAGACAGACAATGAGGGTCCCCCACACATCAGCTGGGCCTATTGGTGCAATCCACCAGTGCCCACCCACCCAACTGGTAGTCCAAGGCCACTGCAGACATCTGGGCTGTCTTGGTGAGGGGAGGGAGGGGCACTGCAGCTATACCTGAACTTGGCACCAGGGGGAGCAAGCAGGACTGTCCAGGCTGGAAGAGCCCTTCCAAGCCCGGCCTTCCCCCTTCCAGCCGGAATGAACATGAGCCCTGTCTCCAGACTGAAGAAGACTTGGGCCAAAGTGAAGACAGCCAAGTTTTTCATCCTGGAGGTAAACAAGGTTGGCTCAGCTCAGGGGTGTCCGCTGCCCACCAGACCCAGCTGCCCAATTCCTTCCTGTCTTCCCTCCAGCACCAGATGGACCCGACAGGAAACTTCTGTAACTACAGGACAGCCCTGCGAGGGGCAGCCCATCGCTTCCTGACCGCCCACAGCAGCCGGGAGAAGGTAAGCAAGAGGCCCCCTGGGACCAGAGGTTTATCCAGCCTCCAGAGCTGCTCCCTGCTCCACCCAGAGCAGGTGTAGGTGGGCTACACCCTGGGCAGCAGTCAGCCTCTGTCTCTCTGACCAACACCTGAGATGATGACCGTGATGTTTCTGCCTTACCACAGGCCCAAAGCTGCAGAGTCAGCTGACTACAAACTGAAAGCTCTGAAACTCTAAGCCAAAGTGAACTGTTCCTCCTTTCACAATGTTCCTCTTGAGTGTTTTGACACAGTGGCAGATAGCTGGTTCACAGGGCCTTACCACGAGGTCCTGAGACCAGCCACCCTTGACCAGGAAGGACCTCTTACCCTCTTTATCCCGGGATGCATCAGAGAGAGGCCCCTGGGGCAGGGGCCCACTGGCAAGGCTGCTGCAGGGCTCCAGGCCACCTGAGGTCTGACTTCCCTTCTCCCCTCCAGATCGTCATCCCCTTCTTCAGCCTGCTCATCAAAGACATCTACTTCCTGAACGAGGGCTGCGCCAACCGCCTTCCCAATGGGCATGTCAACTTTGAGGTAGGGGTCAGGGGTACGGGGTGGCGGGGAGGGGGGCGGGGAGAGGGAGAGGGGGGCTCCACCCAGATTAGGCAGGCTGTCGAGTCTTCTACCCCGATATCATCAGCCAGAGCGCGAGATGGAGGCTGGTACATGTATCCCTGTGTGCTCTGGGTGCCAGCCTGGTGAAGCAGAATCATTTTGGACCCATGAGGCGCACCAGGCCCGTAAGACCTTTCAGACAACTGGCAAGGTGCTCCGACAGGGGATGCACAGACACACACACAGGGCATGGGCACCAGAGCAGGGCCCAAGGGAGGAGGGGCATGTGACCCCTCCCCCAGGCAGAGTGAGCGCCCCCCGCTAGGGCTCCTGCAGAAGATCAAGGGGGGTACCCCCCAATCAATCTCACAGCCCCTGAGTCCCTGAGCTCCTCAAAATCAACACCACACCCATCTGCTCTGTGTCCCGACCCCCAGCCCGGGCTCACCCCACACCCATGTGTTGGAGTGGCTCACGGGCCAAGTACCAGAAACAGACAGTGACCAAGTCGAAGCCCTGGATGGATGGCCGTCCTCAGTACGGTCAGTCTCAGAGGCACACTGTCCCACGGTTCTCCTCGAACCCTTGACATCACCACGGGGGACGAGACAGGCTTTGCCAGGGTCCCCTGCTCAACCCCTGGGGCCTCCGGCCACTGGGGCTACCTCCGTTTTCTGTCTCTGTGTGATCCTGGCAGAAGTTCCTGGAACTGGCCAAACAAGTTGGAGAGTTCATCACGTGGAAACAAGTGGACTGTCCTTTTGAGAAAGACCCCAGCATCACCCACTACCTGTATACTGCCCCCATCTTCAGTGAGGACGGTAAGCTGATCCCGCTGGAACTCTGGCGGTGTCTGGGTGCCTCTTAGTCACTATTTAGGGGGCTTCTGCTCTGAGCAGAGATGTGCTATAGCCCCCCCTTGACAGCCCCAGAGAAGGCTCCAGTACCCTGGCTGGCCAGCTACTAGTCCAGGAGCACAGAGCGGCAGAGGAGCGGGGCACGGGGACCCCAAGGACCCCCAGAGCCAGGCTTCCTCCTGGACTAACATTTTGGACATTGTGCAGTGGAAATCAGAACTGTCCAGCATTCCTACCCTATTTGTATCATCAGCCAGTCGAGAGTGAGGACAGACACAAGCACTGGGCTAACAACTGTGGGTTTCTCTGTGGCACATGTGCACTTGTGTGTGTGTGTGTGTGTGCACGCGCGCACGTGTGCACACGCACACACGTGCACGTACGTGTAATCTACTGCCATGATGGAAGCTTCTTGCCTCCGCAGTGCTCACATTGTCCTGTGCAGTAAATAAGCATTCCCGTCTGATCCTTCATCAGATACAAACTTGCTTGTAAAGTTGCTAAGAGGGCAGACCCTAGGATTCCCCCCTTTGACGGCAGTGTGCCCTCATGGGGAGCTGCTCTTCCCTGGAAGGTCCCTTGCTCAGCAAGCAGGGCTCCTGGCTTATCACACAGCAAGCGAGTCGTGAAAGGACCTCCAGCTATGCCTGGGGAACGTATACTGCCCCACCCTCCAAGACAATTAGGAATGACTGTCTCTGTGTGTGTGTGTGTGTGTGTGTGTGTGTGTGTGTGTGTGTGTGTGTGTGTGTGTGTATACACATGCATGCCAGTATTGGGGCTTGAACTCAAGGCCTCTTCCTCTCTCTTGGCTTTATCACTCCAGGCTGGTGAGCTTACCACGTGAGCCAAAACTCCACTTCTAGAGTTTGTTTGCTGGTTAATTGGAGATAAGATTTCTTGGATTTCTCTGCCCCAGTTGGCTTTCCATCTTGATCCTTCAGTCTCAGCCTCCTGGTTAGCTAGGATTACAGGCATGTGGCACTAGTGCCTGAGAAGAAGGATTTTTTTTTTTAAATGATTTTGTCTTTAGATACTCTGAACTACTGTACAGTACTCCTGGCTGAGCTCACTCAATCCCTGTGGGTCAAACATGCCAACTCGAGTAATTCTCGGTGTGGCCCTGGGAAGCGGGTTCTTTTACTACTCCACTTTACAGGTGCACCGAAGGTAAGCCTTCCCTAAGAAGGCTTGTTGAGGGGTTTTATAATTGGCTACTACTCGGGGAAACTGAGGGAGAAGGTTTCCAGGTTCTCTGTGAAGCTGTTTCTCAGCTTCCTGTGAAAACAATCATCTCCAAACAAAACATTCAATCCAAAATCAAAAAGCAGCTCAGGGTTCTAGGTGTGGGACAGGCAAGCCATCATGTCAATCCCAAGGGATTCATTTTGCTTCTTTTCCTATCTAGGTCTTTATTTGGCTTCCTATGAAAGTGAGAGCCCAGAAAACCAAACAGAAAAAGAGAGGTGGAAATCTCTAAGGTGAGGTTACCTTGTCAGGATGGGACTCGGAAAGGGGGCGGGTGGAGGGGAGAGGATCAGAACTGTGGGGCATGAAGACAGGGCTGAGAGGGTTTCATGACACCCTGTCATCTGCTTCCTGGGGGCACAGCCAGCCCACGGGGAGGGACAGGGCAGAAGTGAAGGGCTGGAGTAGGGAAAGGAGGCTGATCCATGACCCCTCATGACTGGTGGCTGCCCCTATGGATGGTCAAGACATAGTTCTTAGGTCCAGAAGCTCCCGGCCCATATTTGTGTGACAGAAAACAGCACACGTGCCGTCTCCTGCTTGTCTGGCATGTTAACACAGCTGGACGGAGGCTGGCAATGATTAGAAGCGGTGGGCTGAGATCTAAGCCCATAGAGTCTGCCAGGCACCCCTGGGGTCACCTCGTCCCCCTTGCTGAGCAGGTGGCCAGGGCCAGGAGCAGCCTAACTGCAGAGCAGGGGCTCTCACCACTCGCCCCGTGTTTCCACCTGCAGGTCGTCTATTCTGGGAAAGACCTGAGAAGCCCTGGACCTGAAGGAGGAGGAAGAGGTGGAGTGAGCAAAGGCCCCCTCCCCCAGCCCCGCTTCAGGTGGCCCAGTGGGGCAGAGGCAGAGGCAGTGGCCTCACTACTTTGCTAACCGAGACACCCCCCAGGTGGCCTGGCATCTGCCACAAATGGCTACGTGACACAGGAAACCTTTTGTGGGCCCTCAGCCCTGGCAGACACTCCAGACGTGTGGATGGCACCTGCCTTGGGGACATGTGCCTTCAGGACCATGGGGGTCAGGTTGCTGGTCAGTCTGTCTGTCCTGGGCAAAGACACGGCACTACCCCCCCCCTCCCCAGAGGGTCAGACAACTGCAATCTCACGATCTTGCTGGGTGACCTGTGCCTTGGAGGCCAATGCCGTAGTTGGTTATCATCAGGTGGCTTGGGAACTTTGTCAACCACAGTGGGCATTGCCACATGGTGTAAGATGCTCCTGCGCCAGCTCAGAGCCTGCCAGCAGCTGCACTTGTTCTGTTGATGGACGCCTCCCCTGGCCCTCCCAGTGGGCTCGTTTCTGCAGCCCTGATCTCCCTCACTTTCTGGTTCCTGCTGGTATCAGGACCCAGCCAATGACACAGGTCCTCGGGACAAACTGGAATCCTGAAGTTCCACAGCGTGTACATTACAATCCACCGGCCCTCACCTCTGAAGTGTTCCATAGCGCCTCCGGATACAACCACCCAGGCTTCCAATGTGGGAATGTCCATTGGGGGAGGGGGTGTCGGGGACACACAACCGCCAAACCGTAGCAGGGTGTTTGCATTAAAATTACAAATAGGTGATTACTGTGGTGTGGCTATTTGACCCTTAACCATTTATCTAACCATGGTATTTGCACGCTGTGTGAAGGCTCCGCCTTGCATCACTGCCTGACAGAAATCGATTAGAAACAACCCAAGTGTCCATCAACAGGAGCTTACTTAAATGAGTGGCCACAGGGCCCTACCTGCGCTGCTGTAATGAAGAGGCCTTGTGATACCCATCAGCAAAGGTACCTGTGATTCCATGGCATCCCGCCAAGTCTGTGCCCCACCAGCATGTTCGAGAATCCCCCAGCAGTCCTGTTCCTGCAGCAAGATGCCCACCACTAACATGAGGAAACGAATCAGGAAAGGTGACAGAGAGAGAGAATGATAGGTGAGGAGGTCTTGGGGCCACCACTGGGGCGCAGAGCAGCGTAAGGAAGAAGCTCGGGCTGAGTTCATTGGCTGGTCAGGCCCGCCTGTAACTACAGAGCACCTCTAGGGAGGAGGAGTGAAGAAGGAAAAGCCTGGCACTCACGCCTGTAATCCTAGCTACTCCCGAGGCCGAGGCCTGGGGGATGAAAGTTCAAAGCCAGCCGGGACAGAAAAGTCTGAAAGATTCCATCGCCAGCAAAATGCACGACGGGAGGCATGGCTCAGGTGGTCAATGAACTAGAAAAACAAGCAAAGGCCAAGTTCAGCACTTGCCTAGCAAGGGCCCTGCCCTAGTTTTATCCACAGCACTGCCAAGATATATACATACGATTATCTGCGTACATACACATACACAGTGTTATATGTTTATATAATGATCCTGATTAGTGAGAGTTTTGTAGCTCCCTGGTGTTACTGTCAGAGGCTGAATGAGGCTGTACGACACCACCAGGGGGCGCCTTCTCTCCATCGACCCCTTCTCAGCCCAGGTACCTATCTGGAGTGGGATTCAGGCTCCTGGGCCCCTTGTTGAGCCTCTCCTCCTCTTGGATGTACCCCTGACCCTTCCACTGCCAGAGCGTCCCTCTCCTCCACCCATCAGATGGTCACCAACCAACCTGTGTCCAATTCTCCCACAAGATATCCTGGCATCTCTTCCCTCCTTAGCATCCTGCCTCCCTCTGCAAGATCTGACCTCAGTCTTGCCCAGCTCAGACCTCTGGCCTCCTGATTTAGGGACAGGCCTCAAAGCAAGAGGCTGATGACATTCACCCTTTCCTCCAGCCAGAGTTGGGCCGACTGGGTATGCTGGAGATGAAGCTGCCCGCATGCTCACACCAGGAGGGGATAAAGGCCAGGGCATCTCAATCACCAAGTGCAAAACTATAAGGTGCCAGCACTTCAGGCATCAAGATTAGCAATTGTATAATGCAGTATTTTGTAAAAAAAAAAAAAAAAAAAGTTAATGCAAAAATAATCCATGAACAAAATATCAACCTTTTTTTTTATCAGTATAGTAAGTGTCTGTTTCAGGACTGGGAAGGTAGAGTGCTTGCCTTGCATGAGGCCCTGGGTTCGATTCCTCAGCACCACGTAAGCAGAAAAAGCTGGAAGTGGCACTGTGGCTCAAGTGGTAGAGCGCTAGCCTTGAGCTGAAGAGCTGAGGGACAGTGCCCAGGACCAGAGTTCAGGCCCCACAACCTACAAAACAAAAACAAAAAACAAACCTGTCTGTTTCATAACTTACATTTATAGTGCAAATGACTTGAAAGCCTCTGTTTCCTTGACCCCCTGAACACTCTGGTTTGTTTTTCTATTCTTTTTCTTTATTTTAAGCAAAAGGTTAAAAACAGACAGCTGCTAAATTTAAAAGAGAGAGGAGATAAAACATACATATTCTTTTGTATCAAAAGGTATAGTAACACCAAAGTTTATTTCTGTTTCCTTTTGCATTAAAATGAGGACAGTATAATGTCTCAGATGGAGAGAGGCTTGATTTCTGTTATTAATCACATTTAATTGGTTTTAATTGACTTGTACAAGTCAAAAAGAAGATGGAAGGGCTGGGAACAGCTCAGCGCCCGACATGCACAAGTTCTGCATCACTAAACAAAGCAAAAAGATGAAAGGAACAGAAAATGGGAGGAGGAGAATAAAGAGAAAGAGATGGAAAAGAGGGAATGAGGAGGAAAGGAAAAGGAAAAAGTAGAATGGAGGAGGAAGAAGAGGTGAAGGGGAAAGGAAGACTAGAAGAAAGGGAGAAGAAGAGGGAAAGACTGGAGAGTTTATTCCAGAAATAATTCTAAAAATAAAGATATAATAATGAAGAGATCAATGCAATACCAGGATATTGTTCTAAATCTGTATGAACCCAGTAACAGCACTTCAAATTATATAAATCAAAAGTTGACAGAATCAAAAAGAAAACTCCATAACTATAGAGATATTAAAATTCTTATTAATATTCTTCTTTTAATAGTCAATGATAAATGTGTATGGGAGCTTGCCAAAAATAGTTGTTTATTGTTTGTATATGTGTGTATATATGTGTTTGTATATGTGTGTGTTGGTCGTGGAGCTTGGACTCAGGGCCTGGGCATTGTCCCTGAGCTTTTTTTTTTTTTGGTCATGGGGCGTGAACTCTGGGCCTGGGCACTGTCCCTCAGCTCTTCAGCTCAAGGCTAGCACCCTACCACATGAACCACAACACCACTTCTGGTTTTTCTGAGTGTTTTGTTGGAGATAAGAGTCTCACGGACTTTTGTGCCCAGGCTGGCTTTGAACCGCAATCCTCAGATCTCAGCCTTCTGAGTAGCTAGGATTACCACCAGCATCTAGCTGTCCCTGAGTTTTTTGTTCAAGGCTAGCGCTCTCCCACTTTGAACCACAGTGACACTTCTGGCTTTCTGGTGGTTCACTGGAGATAGTTTCATAGACTTTCCTGCCCAGGCTGGCTTCAAACCATGATCTGCAGATCCCAGCCTCCTGAGTAGCTAGAATTACAGGCGTGAGCCACTGGCTGGTGCCTGGCTCCAAGGATACTATTCAGGCAACTTACTCTGTTTTCAAGTTTGTAGAGAAATTATTAGTATCTGTCAGCTAGATTGCCATGACAAAATACCACCAACTGGATGGCTTAAACACCAACAACAAATTTTTTCTCACAGTTCTCGGGGCTGGGAAGTTCAAGGTCAAGATGCCAAATGAACCCTGATTATGGTGAGTGCTCTCTCTCATTCTCTTCTTGGGTTTCAGATGTGCATTCTTGGTATCTCTCAGATAAGGGTCCCACTTTTATTGTCTGGTGCCAACTCCTAAGAGCCCTATCTCTAGTACCATCATATTAGGGACTGGGACTCCCAACGTATCAACTGGAGGTCAACCTTCTGTCCGTAACAGCATGCCATCATGCTATGACTGTGGAGATAAAAGTGTCTATTTCCTCTTGACCCAGCCATCCTGCTCTCAACCAGTGTAAAAGTTGGGAGAGGCTAAAATATGTCCCCTGAAGATTCAGGTTGGGATTCTTACCAATGTGTCCCCCAGGATCTCAGAATGTGTCTGGGTTGGAGATAAAGTCATTAAGTGGGTCAGGTCGAATGAGATCAATAAAGTGAGCTCTGGTCTAGTATGGATAGTTGTTCTAAGAAGAGGAAATTGGAACACAGACACCCACCAAGGGAAGACCATGGGAGGACACAGATTAAAGATGGCCCTGATCAGCAAGCCAGAGAGAATGGCTTTAGAATGAAATCTGGTGACACCTTGTTCTTGGAAGTCTAGCTCCCAGAATTGTGAGAAAATAAATTTAAGTTACCTAGTCAGTGGTATCCGTTACAGCAGCCCCAGTGGGGGGGAAAAAAATCACAGCAGCACGCAGGCAACATTCCACGTTTCCTAATTCCACAACTCAGTGTGGCATCGTTTATGATGGAAAAGGATGGGCAACGGTCCAAGCACTCATCTAGAGGGCACAGATTCAATTAACTAGACTCTGCATACGTGCTTGAATTCTGTGCAGCTGTGTGGATGGTGGAGGAAAGCAAAAAAAAAAAAAAAGATGTTCAAAAAGGTGATGTTAACTATTGAACTATAAAAACAATAAAACCAGGTGCTGGTGGCTCACACCTGTAATCCTAGCTACTCAGGAGGCTGAGAGTTGAGGATTGAGGTTAGACGCCAGTCTGGGCAAGAATCTCTGTGAGACATCTCCAGTTAAACACCAAAAAGGTGGAAGTGGAGATGTGGTTCAAGTGATCCTTGAGCAAAAAAGCTCAGGGACAGCACCCAGGCCCTAAGTTCAAGCCTCAGAACTGGCCCTCCCCAAAAAGGGGGGAGATTTTGAATGCATAATCATCTTTTTCCAAAAAAATAAAGCAAATGAACACACACAAAAGCCAGTGAAAATGCTTAAGTGTCTAGTGGAGAGACTAGATTTCGTCTCTGAATCATGAGTGTATTCTGTATGAATGTCTCCAGTGTGGGTACACATTTGGTCCCCAGTTGAGGATGGCTGAACTTAAATTTATGATGGTGCAAAGGTACTATGCATTCAGTAGAAACCATACTTGTAATTTTGGATTTTGATTTTTTTACCAGGTTGTAACTACAGCCATACAATGAGATACTCTACAGTGCACTGTGGTGCTAAGTGTGAGAAACTTCCCATCACCATGAAAAAATACATAAGACAAGCAACTTGAAGGAGGGAAGATTTATTATGGCTCACAGTGTCAGAGATTTCAGTCATGGTTGCTTGGTTCTGTGTTTCTGGGCCTCTGGAGAGCCAGAACATCATGGCAGAAGGTCATAATGAGAGAGAGTTGCTTACCTCATGATGGCCAAGAAGCAGAAAACAGAAAGAACCAACAACAAGATGTATCCTTCAAAGGCATGGTCCCATTTTCCCCAACCATACCTTACTTTATAATTTCCATTACCTCCCAATAATACCATCAGACTGTGAAACTACCAAAGGATTGATCCATTCGTGAAATCAGAGTCTTCAGGATTCACTCACTGCTCAAAGCCCTACCTTTGTGCATTGCCTTGGGTTCAAGCCTTCAACATGAACTCTTGTAGGGAGGGGGTGTTGAACACTTT